GATTTAGGGATATATAAAGGCCGGTGTTACTTGGAAGTTTTAAGTTTAAGTTTAACTGTGATATGAGTTAGATAGTGATTATTGTTAAGAGTTGTAAAGAGTTTAGTTTGTAAAATATTAGTTTGATAATAATGTTAGGCGTTCTATGCCGATGTCGCTATATGTCAACAACGCATCCGTGGTTGTAGGGATAATGGATTCCAAACAACCATTTTTTGAATGTGTTCCCCTTACCTTCTAACTCACTGCCATACTAACGGTAACCACCGAAGGTTGCCGTTGGTCTTCAAAACTAACAACTTAAAAATGATGAAAGTCCTGATCGACAAGGTAGAAATGAAACAGGTCTTGGTAGCTCACTTAGTACAGCGTTGCACTGGAAATGCTAGGGTCCTGGGTTCAAATCCTACCTAGTCGAGGCAAGAAAATTTCTCATCAATTTAAATTAATACGTCTGCATGCCACTAAAATTAAACACACTGTAAATTATATAACAGACGATAAAACTTCTAAAAAAAAAAATGTAAAATATTGGCTTGATATTGATGGTTGGGCGACCTATCCCGATGCCTGCCTGTTGTTTATTATTTCTTTATTTTATTTTATCCCATTTTGACGTTTAAAAATGACATTATTGAACGCAAACTAACCAATGTAAGTAGACGTTTATCACCTGAGTGATTTAATAGATATTTACGATACCTTTATTTAGCATATTGCGAGAGAGCATTTTCTAACAAACAATTCAGTACCACAAAATCGCTAGTTTATTCAAATATTGAACTAAAATTTTCCAAAAATATTTAGAATGCTAGAAAAATTCTTAATTTGAGTGATGAACTAGCGATTGTGTGGTACTGAATTGCTCGTTAGAAAACGCTTTTTTGGAACATGCTCATGAGCCATACCCTTTCCATTTGAAAAAATTGATATAATTCCAAAAATGCGCTGCTACTAACTTTAAATGAGCCTTTAGAGGATATAAAATACAAAATAAGATCAAAACAAATTTTCCCATGTTCCTAGGAGCAAAATTAAGCATTTTGACTTATTCGTGGTGCTCTAGATTTAAAAGTATAAATTTAAATAATTTGGTGATGTCAATGTCAAAAAGTGAGAAATGAGGTGTCATTGTACTCGTAATGTAGTTTTCTATTAAAATGAGGAAAAATATACCTAGCGTCTCATTTAAAATAAGAAAGTTAGGGTCACTTCCGGTCAAACCGGAAGTGATAGTAAAAAATTAAATACGTCAAATAATGCACATCCGGGTCATAAATAAACACACCAAATTTCATTTGTTTATCTGGAAAAATAAAAAAAGTTATAGGGGTGAGCGGGTTTTGAAAAAGACCCGGTATTTTAATAACTGCAGTGGTCTGGATTTTCAAAGAACTTCTTTTATTACAACTTTTACAAAAACCTTCTGCATGACATACTCATTTTTTATTTTGACATTGACTACTATTCATTGACCTTCACCTAACACACATCCTTCAACTGCCAATACATACATGATGTCAAATTAACTTATATTTTATAATTATTATTTGAACTAAACTATAAGGTTTTCCCAACACTGCCGATGTCGCTATATGTCGACGACGCATCCGTGGTTGAAGGTATAATGGATTCCAAACAACCATTAATTGCGAATGTGTTCCCCATACCTTCTAACTGACTCCTATACCAACGGTAACCGCCGAAGGTTGCGGCTGGTCTTGACAACTAACAACTTAAAATTGATGAAAGACTTGATCGACAAGGTAGAAATGAAACAGATCTTGGTAGCTCAGTTGGTAGAGCGTTGCAATTGAAATGCGAGGGTTCTAGGGTTCAAATCCTAGTCGAGGCAAGAATATTTTTCATCAATTTTAATTAATACATCTGCATGCCACTAAAATTCTTTAGTATAGATGAATATACCACTAACAATTGATTTCCATAATTTGTGTATAACTTTTCTGAAAATTGTCTTTATTATATTTGACAGACATTTTCAGTAAACTACAGAAAATTCAAATAGGTACATAATTATATATAAAGCACATACATATAACATATAGCAGAATAATGCGAAATAATTAATTCCGATGTCAAACTAGATTATCATATACCTGCCATGCATTAGCATACGGGACTAATTTCAATTGCAAGTATAGAGCTTTATGTCGAATCCACTTTTCATGATACGTCATAATCCAACATTTTGTATCTGCACATGTCAGTTTAAATACAATTATCCAAGATTGTTGCTGTTGTGCAGTTCGAAACCGAAAAACATGTTTTAATGGAATAGTGACAGATAATTATTTTTGAAACAAACTTCATGCATTAACGGCAATATTTATAATGTAGTAAGTTGAAATCGGCTTTGGGGATGTATTCGACTAATTATTTATTCTCATAAATCAGCCGCTTATAAAATATTAAGTGAACAGCTGTATATGGGATATGCACAAGTGCACGCGCTTGCACTTAAAAAATCATCAAGGGTGTAATTCAATCATTTCTCGCCCCTCATAAGAGGACAACTCGTCTCGAATGCCATAAAAGGGGTCCGCAGATGATAGTCTATCTGACGTACATTTCATTTCCATATAAATATGGTCAAATGTAGACCGACCCTCATAAATTTGTTACTTTAGGGCTTTAAGGGTGCGATATAATCAGAAAAATTGAAAATATTTTTGCATTATGTAAATCTGCACTGCATTTTCCTCACATTTTCAAATTAAAAAGTAGATATATACTTTTTCATTTCATAGCTGATATCCTATATATAAAAGTCTGGCTATAAATTTCAATGATACCAAAAAATATAGAATTACGATGTTTGTCGTTATATAACGGTAGTAAATTCTTATCTACTGAAAACTAAACAGAGCAATAACAACCAAAAATGAGTTTTGAGCCATTTGAGTCAATAATCGTATCTTTCGGTCGGCGGCCAGAGTCAGCGTTTTATAATCGCATTAAGCTTAGGCACGGTCGATCGAAAGTAATTTTAGTATCGGGTAAATCCAAAATTGGATAGGTTGGGTTCGGATTAAAACCAATTTTCGTTTGATATACATATAACTGTATAAAATATTCATGAGAAGTATGGTTTAGTTAAGAACTCAACTAATTAGTTCCAATGTTGGATATTGTGACTGCTATCTTCCACAGATTTGAGAGGTTGAATAAACACTCAGTTTTTGAAGCAATCAGGACTTCCGGTATTAATTCTTTCAGCAACCATAGAATCCTCTCCAGGTGCCTTGTGGTTGTTGATTTACTTTAGGCCAAGTTCTATTTCTTGCAGGACATTTTTCTGAACCTTGGTTTACAATAAAACCTTTGATTGTTAGCATATCAGGCTAAAGATACATACTTATTTGCATTTCCTTCTTTTTCACTTTTGTACATCAGCTTGTAGAAGTTCTCAACAGTATTAATACCTTACTTGTTAGTTATTATACTTGCTTGTTTTAAATTTCCACCACTTCCTTCAATTCCAAGACTTCTGCCAAAACTGTCATGTTTTTGTTAGCAACTATACTTCGGTTCAGAAATTCAGAAATGGGTGGCTATACCATAAGGAAAACAACAGAGGGACTCCACAAGTAGGAGTAATATCTCTACTCTTGTGGCTGTTGGTAATCAATATGATTTTGAAAACTTTTAGAGAAAAGAGGAAAAAATTGTTGCGTGTGCTGATGACGTAGTAGTATACTGATGAGGGGCATCAGCTTATCAACCATCAGTGAAATCATGAGATCAGCGTTAGAGGAACTCTCAAGATGGGCAGGACAGAACGGATTGGAAGTAAACCCTCAAAAAACCAAGCTAGTCCTGTTCACAAGAAAATTCAACATTCCTGGTTTTACAATGCAGACAGTTGGGGGACAAACCATCGAACTATCAAAAGAAGCGAAGTATGTAGGGGTTGTTCTGAACTCCAAACTCTCGTGGAGGAAAAATACGAATGAAAGAAAGTAAGGATGAAAAAAGGCCTGTTGGCAGAAAACTATACGGCAAAAAATGGGAACTGCAACCGCACATCATCCAATGGATGTACACTGCGATAGTGAGACCGATTATTAGCTACGGAGCGGTAGTTTGGCGGAAGGCTAGAAGAAAAAGGCACAGAAGAAGGCTAGAAGAAGAATGCACAGAAACGTGAAATTGAAAATGCTCACTAAAGTACAGAGAATGGCATCACTCGGCACAACGGGAGCAAAAAGAAGCACACCGCAGGCGGCCTTAGAGTTTATGCTGTATCTGCTGCCAATAGATTTTTTAGTAGGAGGCACAGCTGCAAAGAGAGCTCTTTGATTAAGAGAATCCAAATTGTGGAAGAAAACCGATCATGGACACTCGACAATAATTAAGGATACAGTCAAAATGATGGACCACCAAGACTCCGAACATTCCCTAAGGCAACGAACTACATAGTGGCCAAATATGCTTTTGAGGACAGGATAAACGTCACTATGTCTTCAAGAATTATGAGAAGACTAGGGTCAAACCCCTATACATAGGAAGAATGAGATATCAATCTTCACAGATGCCTAAAAAACAAAAACTGACACAGGAGCCGGAGTTTCCTAAGAAGCACTAAACATGGTATTAGTTTGAACGTACACAATAACAATAATCGTAACGTCATCGCTCAGGATTAAGAGTTCTAGCACAGCCCAGCGCTAAAATTTGCATCATGGATAAATTTTCATGTTATGGAAAACCACAATCGAACTTGGTATGCATTGGGTGTTCAAAAATGTTTCATCACAGCTGAATTTATTGCTCTGCTGAGTGCCAACACCTTGAAGCTGATGCTCTAGAAAGAGATAAGCAACTGCAGAAAGAGGTTGAAGAACTTGCCAAGGAGATCCAGGAAAAAATAAATACATTAGCAGACTCCGGAGAAATTCACAGGTTTTTGAAGATGATTTGTTGAACTATGAAAAAGAACATTGTGATGGAATTAGTAACTATAAAAAAGACATTTCAAGATTAAATACTGAGATTATTCTGGTGTCAGATAGAAATTCCTGCATCCAAAACGATCTACAACGGACGAGGGAAAGCCTAGAAGAGTTAAAGGTACTGAACCGCAACCTGAAAGTTTCTATCGAGGTCCTGGAAAAGGAAAATGATATACTTTCCAAGGAAACTAAGCGTCTGCGTCGTGAGGGTTTTGAAAAAGAACAATGCGATGAAATTAAGAACTACAGGGAGGACATATCAAAACTGAATGCTGAGATTGTTCAGCTATCAGAGAGTAATTCCCACATTCAAAACGATTTACAGTGGACGAGGAAAGACCTGCAGGAGTTGAATATACTGAACAACAACTTGAAAGTTTCAATCGAGGCCCTGGAAAAGGAGAATGATATGTTGGCTAAGTGTCTGCGTCGTGAGGTTTTTGAATTGAAAAACTCTCCACATCCTATAGCCCATATTAAATCGACTCCTCCTAGGAATAAAATACTGATAATTTGGCAAAGGGACTTAGGGATATTATGGATCATTGTGTGAATCGTGAGTCTTCTGTATCAGCGTTAATTAAACAGAATGCCTTTCTTGATAAGTCGGTGAGAGACATTCTCAATTATACGAGTAATTTCAATAATAATCAAAATATGTGATTGGTATGGCTGGTGTGACAAATTTATTGAAGGGACGCCCAGTTAGAGAAGAAACTATACAGACTCTTAAATCAGTGGGTGAATATACTAATCTTATGGTTTGGAAAAATAATAGATTGTTTAATAATTTCATCAATTTCATTAATGAACATAATAAAATGATGTTTGACAGGTTATGCAGTGAAAGCAAGTTCAGATTTAATTTCCATTTGAACGCCATTATAGGAAGTAAGGACTTTTATTTTGATAATAACTTGTACATTAAACATAGAGGTAAGGTGAAAGTAGCACGGGCACTTAGTGGTAGGCTCTCAGATTTTATTAATGGAAGTGTGCCTGTGAGAGATGTTATAGGACTGGATACAGATAGTGATGTTTTTACAAACATTATGCACACTCTGTCTGATGAAAAAGTAGATACTGTTGATATTGAAGGACCTTTTTTAGTAGTACCTCCCGTCAGAATCACTTTACCCTAGCATTGTTAAATATTCAGTCTGTGCGTTCAAAGGTTGATGAATTGGAGTTGTTTTTGGAATCAGTCAATTTTCCTAGTGTATTGATTTTGGTTGAGCACTGGTTGCTGTTTGATGAACCCATTGACGTGTCTGGTTATGTGTTGATGTCTAAATTTTCACGCAAGCAATTTGCACATGGTGGTACACTAATCATGATGGAGAGAAAGTTTTTGTCTAGGTTTATGTTCCTTACTGTTGATAGATTTGATCATTTGCTGATTGAAAAAGATTTCGAGTTTTCTATAGTTTTCTGCAAGAAACTCAATATGTATGTTTTCGGTTTTCATAGGTCTCCATCTGGTAATTTGGAGTTGTTTTTGGAGAGGTTGGAGATTTTGTTGAGCGACATTTCGGTTAATTCCTTGTTGATTTTGACTGGCGAACTCAATGTGAATTTCTTGGACAAGAGTAATAGATCCAATCAGTTACTGTGTAATTTGTTGAACTTGTTCAACTAAGAGATGCACGTGGATCGGCCAACCCGCTTTTCCGCATTCTCTGCCCCAATACTGGACTATTTCTGCACCAATTTCAATCAGATCGAAATTCAGTGTGTAACGATCAATGCCGGTTTGTCTGACCACGGGGCAGTAATGGGACTTGTGCCATTTGGCGTTGAAGCTGATCAGGGTAGGTTTGGACGCGGGAGACTTTATACTAGGGCAAAATTTTCTAAATTTCCTTCGATTTGCCACCGATCGGAATGGAATGACGTTCTGGCTGGCTACTGTCAGCCCATTTCAGCAGTTTCATCAAATGTTGCTGAGTAATTTTGAAATTGCCTTCCCTATTGTCAGTATAAAGAAGCGAAAGACAAAACCCTGGTTTACAAAGGGCCTGCGAACTTCTGGAAAAAATATGCGCTCCCTTCATTACATCAGAAAATTCTATATGAACAATCCAATATTTTTAAACTATTTTGATAGGTACCGAAGGGTTTACAGAAGATCGATCAGGCTTGCCAAGTGGACTTACTTTCAAAAAAGGATAAATAAGTCTTCTAATAGATCAAGGGAGACTTGGAAAATTGTAAATGACCTGAGGGGTAGGAATAATGTTTCGGTTACTTCAAGCAATCTAAATCCTGATGACCTAAATTCCTTTTACTGCAATATTGCCACTGAACTCTCAGCTAAAATTTCAACAGGGAATGATCCCAGGAGCTATCTGAAACATGTAGCAGTGGCTGAATCTTTCTTTCTAGCTCCAACTAATGCAGAAGAGCTAATATGTATGCTCGGTATTATCAGGAATAAGGGTGCGTCGGGTTGGGATGGGCTATCATTGAAGGTTTTTTTAGCTTTACCCATGGTTGCTTTGCAGGTTCTTGCTGAGGCATTTTTTTTGTGTCAGGGGTTTTTCCATCTTGCCTGGAGAGAGCAGTGATTATCCCTCTATATAAGGGTGGAGAGCACGACTCTCCTTCTAATTTTAGGCCTATAGCATTATTGCCTACTCTGGCTAAGGTTGTGAAGAGGCTTGTTAAGGTTAGGATGTTATCGTTCTTGAACAACCGTGGCCTTTTAAGTTCTCAGCAGTTTGGCTTTCGTGAATCCATGAGTACGGGGGATGCCATCTTTGACTTTCTTGAACACCTTTACAATATTCTGAACTGTGGTGAGGTCGCTGCAGCGGTGTTCTGTGATTTGTCAAAGGCTTTTGAGTGTGTGAGTCACGGAGTGCTACTGTGGAAACTCGAGCTGTATGGTTTCAGGGAACTGCCCTAGAGTGGTTTCGTTCTTACCTGTCGGATCGCGTTCAGACTGTCAAGTTTAATGGTGGTACCTCTAAAGAACTTCATATTAGTGTGGGCGTTCCACAGGGCTCGGTACTTGGTCCCCTGCTTTTCCTCATTTATGTAAAAGATCTACCACATCTCCAGATAACGGGTAGATTCACAATCTTTGCAGACGATACCACTACCCTCTGGCATGATTCTGATGTTGGTAGAATGGAAGCCAATATGAGGACGGATCTGCTTGGAATAAAGTGCTGGTGCGACGCCAATTCCCTGACATTCAATATATCTAAGACCAAAATCCTCAAGTTTGAATGTGCTACCGAGGATATCTACTTAGAAAATGTACCCATCACTACGCCAATGTTTAATAAATTTCTAGGTTTGTCAATAAACAGGTCCCTTAAGTTCAAAGACCACATTGCAAAAGTATGCAACAAAATTTCGTCTGGTTGCTATGCCCTCAGAGTTATTGCTAATAACCTAAATTTCTCCATTGCGTATTTCGCGATTATTGAGTCCCATCTTCGATACGGAATCTGCTTCTGGGGCTCTTGTTCTGACTATCTTTTTAATTCAGTGTTCTTACTTCAGAAAAGGGCAATCAGATACTTGTGTGGAGCCAAACCTCGGGATTCGTGTCGCCCTCTGTTTCTGAGCCACGGTTTTCTAACTCTCTGTTGTCTGTTTATTCTGGAAACGGCCTGTTTAGTCTTCAGGAAGTATAAGTGCGAATTGGAGCTAAGGGGCCAATACAATATGCGCCAGGATTACGTGATGAGATTGCCTATCCCCCATTCAGAACTCATCCGTAGCTCTATCATATATGAAGGCAGAAAATTATTTAATAAACTTCCTTTAAAGATCAGGAAGCTCAACACTGAAAAGAGGCTTCGTATAGAAGTAAAGAAATTTCTGACGGGTAAAGCCTACTACAGTTTGAACGAGTTCTTTAATGATATGCCTAAAGGTTTTACGTATTTTGATTGTTTTTTCACCTTGCCTAGTCTGGGCTATATATTGTAATGTTTTTATTTTTAAATTTTTATTGTATCTAATAATTTAATTTATGCATCTTTTATACATTGACTTATATTTTAATTGTATTTTTGTTTTTACTTTTATTTGTATTTTTATTTCTGTTTGTTATTTTAATTGTACATTTTTTCAATTTTTGGCATTTACCTCACATTTATTTTGCTTTTTATTTTAATACCCGTTTTATTTTTTATATATTTTTATTCTGATTACTTTATATTGCCTGGGTGACTGCTTTGTACATAAGATGTTTTTCTTTTTACAATAAAGCATATTTTGATTTGATTTGATTTGATATGATTCAAGAGTCATTCAAACTCAGGGATGTTCGCAGCATCCCGTATGCCGAAATAATTGCTATTGAAAAAGCAGCAAGGCTGTTGCTAAGGGAGGACAATGCGCTGTGCAATTTCACTACATTATGTGAATAGCAATGATAATAATAAGCTGCCGGGAAGCGCTGTCCTGGATCAGGAACAGTAATGTCGGACTAATCCTGGTTCCTGGACACTGGACATAGTAATACAGAAGGAAACAAAATAGCAGATAGACTGGCAAAATTGAGAATGAAAAAGGACTAAGCTGAAACAGACGACTCATCACATTAAACGATTAAACTGTTGATGGATTCAGTAGACAAAACCATGACGCAGCTGCATCATACGAGCTCTGGGGCCGTATGTGAATATAGAGAAAACCAGAAAATTAACGATAAGCACCTTAGTAGAGGCAATCACAGGACACTGTGAAGTCGGAACAATGCTCTATAAGTGGGGCCTCGTGACCAGTAAGCTATTTCAAGAAAGCTTTGAAGAGGATGAAACAATAGAGCTCCTACTATGTCACCTGGGGAAAAGTTTCCCAGAGGAGCTGGAAGATGTAGGACAGTGAAAAGACCGGACTTCATAAAATTCATGCATTGGCACAAAACGAAGAAAGGAGGAACAGGTTAAAGATACCCTGAAGAAGGAAGCACAATAGGCCAATAGGCCTCCGAGTGCAAGCTCTACAGTTGTAGGGCAAACCCTTTAAAACCTAACATAACCTAACCTAAACTACTCTGAACCTAGGTTTGCAATGACACACCTTTTTTCGTTGATTGTATATTTGCATTGCTTTCTTTTTCACTTTTGTACAGCAGCTGGACGAATTCCATAACCATAGTCCTTCCTTGTTTGTTTTTATACAAGCTTGTTTTGAATTTTCACCACTTCCCTCACTTTCAAAGCTTCTGCGTAAACTATCATATTTTTTTTTAGCAATTATATTTTGGCTCATCTCGTTTATTGGCTTGTTTATTCTTCTCTTTGGTTTCTACACTGGTGATTGATTCATGGCTTCAGTGAAATGTGTCTGTTCTTCTTCTAGCGTCGATATTATGTAATAATAGAATATATCAATTTTCTTCTCACTGTGGTTTCACGTTGGTTCATAACAGTTTCTTGTTTGTAGTTTAAGAAAAATATTTATTACCCTTCTATCTTCCTCATCTACCTGGTAGAAACATTGTCGAGCGTGACAATACAAAATACAAAATGTTTGAACCAAAAGCAATTTCTACACTCTTGTTTCTGTAATATCAAGCACACAAATTAGCTTTATCTGAATCAAAGCTAAAAATATATCCGCGAATGTGAATGTTTAAACTGTCCTCAGTGTCCTCTTTAATTCGTTATTGATTGGTCATATCCAAAATGCTTTCAGTAAATTTGGTTAGATAACGCTGTCGCCGATTTGAATCCCAACCAAATAAATCGAATTTAATATTTGGTTTAATTAGATAAAAAGCTCGAGTGAATTTCGTTGGTTGGATTCCGCACAGACACAGGTTGTTCATATAAATTCTAATTAATTTATTCTCGATTTTGTTGGTTTGCAGGATTTTAATTTGAATTTATTTGAAGCGCATACGAACGGTTTATCCAGATGGAGTCTAAATACTTTATCGATTTGATGGCCGCATTGTATTTATCACTGACACTGACCAATCTGTACCTACTAACATTTCTATAATATTCATTATAAATAGTTAATACTTTTATCGACCAGAATTCATCAAATTACCTACATATTCTTGTTGATTTGATTGACATTTTTTACAAAAGAGATTTTTACACTTATGTCCGGGCGTACGTACTAGCTAGTAACTACTAGCGTTTTGGAATTATTGATTATCACCTTCAATAATCTACAAGTTACATTATCTGCAAAAACATTACAAGTCGACTGGATGAACAAGGATTTAGGTAACATGGATTACAAAGTAGAAATGCTCAAGCGCCATTTTGCTCACCGTATCCATGATGCGATAGGTCATATTCGTTTTCCGTGATGGGTAAAGTTTTTGATAGATAACCTCTAGTTTTGGTAACCAATTCTTAACAATATTCCTTCAGCATATAAGATAGGGATAGTATTAAGAAGCTAACAGGCGTGCTGAAGTATTTTAACCCATAAGTGCACACGTGGGGGTACAGAAGACCCCAAGAGTTTTCATTTGCCCACAGCTTTTCAATAGGTTTGGTACCATCGCTTAAATTGCAGGTTCCTTCCTAGGACAAGTCGGACTGTTAGTACACGCAAAGTCGCCGTGATGCACATTACCATAAAAAAAATAATTGATAGTTTGTTATTAGACTCCCACGTGTTTATCAACATTTGCTCGGTGTGCCCAAGAAGCAAAAATATAGACAAAATATTTTTGTGAGAACTGCCGCGAAAAAAGTGCCTAAAACATATGAAAAATATTTGCGAACAATGTCTTGCTGAAATATTTGATGAAGATTCAGAATGATCGGAGGAATAATACCTACCTTATTTATATGTTCTAGCATGTATTATTAACATTTTTGTTTGCTTCAAATATTTTTTGGGTTTTTGAACTTAAAAGTTTATTTTGGTTGTTTATTATACTAGTATCTATGAGAAAAAATAGTAAAAATGTAACTAAAACTAATAGAGTTGTGTTGTTACACAAAAATACAGCATAATGATGTGGGGGTCTGCGGACACCCCACGTATGTACCAACGTTTCAAGCTCCCACGTGTGCACTTAAGGGTTAATTGCCTTTTGACACCTCTGTTTCCAAAGAGAATTTTGGCCCTGTAAGGGCTAACATAAACATTGAATATAGAATATAAAAATAGTTTATCATTGTTTCACTCATAAAAAATATGATTTATGGTTTATCTTACAAAGACCATTAATTTACAGTAAACCCTCAGCTTAAAATGCTATTACTGTCGGAAAACGACTTTTACTTTTAATTTAAATTACGTTTCTAGGTTTAGGTTAAGCCAGAATTTGTATGCTGCAAAGTTTTCATAGTTAACTTCAAACTAGGTTTTGAAAAACAGGTAAAACACAAAGCAGCTTACATATTATTTAGTTTTCGAGTTGTCATCTCTTTACACAAATGTTTTAACCACATTTCAGTAAAAGTATGAATTACGAACAAAAGTCTACATATCAAAAACATCCTTACGAAAAATGCTATCCTTCACATCTGATTAATTACCGTTCTTTATTCAGGTCGCTAAAAAAAAAACAAATGGCGCTTTTTGGCGATATTTCTTCCTGGCCATGTAACATTAATAACTCGTTGGTACACACGTACCTACCAGCAACGAATTAAACTGGCCTAAATACAAACGAAATTTTAATTAATTTTTACGATTGCTCGCCATTCATTACACGTGGGCTACGCGGTGGACGCGTTTGTATTCATGCCGTTTGGCCGGCATTGTCATTGTTCTCATATGTAGCCAGCAGCGGTAGGCGAACGTGAAAACCAAAAAATACGCCATAAATTATATTTTCTGCTTTTATTGTGGGCATTTGGCGCACTCCGGCTTTATTTTGTACGTAAAAGTTGCAAAAATGCTGCTTTTAAAAACGAGAGAGGCAGTTATTTTTATAGCGGAGAGGTATAAAGCTTGAAACAATATGATGAAGATGACACATAAAATGTATAGTTGCTAACAGTACCTATTTTAACTAGTTCTTTTGTTGGCAACTGGATGTATCTCACTTTGTCCTTCAATATCCTTTTGCTATCTAATTTCATTCGAGTTATGCATGAGTAATATTGTAAAACCCCATGTTATCATTATACTAATAATTCACTTTTCCAATGTTATGTATAAGGGTACGCCTCTGTCAAAACTTATAATAATGTAAACTGCCTACTAAGCGGTACTGCACTGCAAGTACCACCATTCCGCCAACGCAAATGCTGGCATCAGCAGTTATTTCTTATAAATACAGCGTACAGAGCTTCCTGGAGCTCATTCTATTATTTTTTAGCCAGACTATAGTAATTAGAATCAGGTTCATTTGTTTTCGACTTTTACGTCGCAGCAATATGATCCACATATTATGCTTGTTTACATGAAAAATAAAATAACTAAATTAAACAAATTTGTTTGTCTCCATCAGTAGAAGTTTCCAACTGGCGCTTGAGGATACTTCTACCTCCTGGCTTTTACTTGCCGATATAAGTCGCACCAATTGAAACCAAATCTGGTAATCCTTTTCTTACGACTTACTCCTAAACTATGTTTTCTATCCTATTTCTTATGACAAACTTATATCTAGGCTAGCCTCTTGTCTGCTTTTTTTTTCTTGTTGCGTACGCAGTCTCTAATTCTTCTCCATATATACATATTTTTTTCTTCTGATAGCTATGCGATCGCTGTAGTCCGTTGTCGTTCCTGTTTATCGGGAACATGTATTTTTCCTTCTTTTCGAGTGCCTTCGCTGCGGTGTCCTGAATCTCTCTTTTGTAGACGTAACCGGGTCGTGGCGTGGTGTGGGCGTTGGCTTGCTTTCAAGGAGCCTAAAGGCGTCGTCGGCGTCGGTTTTTTGGGCGTCGGGTTCGAGACGGCACCTCCACCGAATGGATTCGCCGGGTCAGACGCCAGGTGAAAAATTGTTCGCGGTTATTTGATTGTTTTAGGAGCAAAATTGTAATTTTATTGGAAAGCACTTTTACTGACCACACTCAAACCCCGGCAATCGACATAAAGGGTGCCAAATGGTATGACCAATTCAACGCACCTCGGAGATGTTATCCAACCTTCGAGAACGCCGCCTTCTAAATGGAAATGGAAACGACCAACACGTGCGGTACTGACGGTGAACAGACGGGCGTTACGGGAATCCGGGAATCTCGCGCCGTTTGCTTTCTAGGCCAGCACCACGCCCGCTTTTTGACCGACATCCACAACATGGACAACCCGACCTGGTGGCAATCTGAAAAGATGCTCGAAGGTATTCAGTGGCCCAACCAAGTCAATTTGATTCTGAGATTCGTTAAGACGTTCGACATCACCTACATTCGGTTGTGGTTCAATTCGTTCAGGCCCCATTCCCGATAGTTTTTATATTTCGAAGAGGAGTAGTGATGATGGACCATGGATACCTTTCCAGTATTACAGTGCGAATTATCGGGACACTTATTGCCTACCATATCAACCCTACACGACCAGAGGCGAAGAGACCAGAGCCTTGTGTACATCAGAATATTCCGATATTTTTCCATTACGTGGCCTTTGGAACTCTAGCAGGACGGCCGTCAGCTCATAATTTCGACTCCAGCATTGAACTACAGGAATGGGTTTCAGCAACTGCCACCCGAGTAACTCTGGACAGAATCAAGGCATTCGGCGACGAACTATTCTGAGATTCGCAAGGACTCAAGTCGTACTTCTACGCCATCGCCGACTTGGCCGTGGGCGCCAGATGCAAGTGCAACGGCCACGCTTCCGAGTGAGTACTGATTACCTGAGCTGGTGGTATCCAGACCAGAGTTTGTAGGTGCGAGCACAACACCGCTGAATCCGATTGCGACGAATGTTTGCCGTTTTACAATGACGCCCCTTGGGCTAGGGCTACTATCCAGAGGGCGAATGAATGTAAACAATGCAACTGCAACAACTTCTCAAACAGGTGCATCTTCGACTCAAAGCTCTACGAAAAAACCGGCCTTGGTAGTTACTGCCTGGACTGTTCCGCCGACAGAGACGGACCTGCGAACGATGCCGCCCCAATTATTACATGAGAGGGGACGGGTCTTGCGTAGCTTGCCAGTGCGACGAAACCGGCTCGATGTTCCAGCAGTGCAACGCCGAAGGCAAGTGCCAGAGCAAAGCTGGAGTCAGCGGAGACAAATGCTACAAGTGTGCAGAGAACCACTATAATTTCACCAAGTCCGACTGTAAAAATTGCGAATGCTCTGAAGAAGGTTCGGTGTTCAACGCGCCCAATTGCAACCCTAACAACGGCGTGTGCAATTGCAAGGAAAACGTCGAAGGCAAACAATGCAAAGGGTGCAAACCAGGATTTTTCAACTTAGACTTGGAACGAATTCGCTTGCACTCCCTGCTTCTACTACGGGTATTCTAAGTGCCAATCGGCTCCCGGCTATTTCTGATACGCCTTAGAATCCAGCTATGCCAAAGGCTCAGAAAAAAGGCGAGCCGAAGATCAGTACATCAGGAATATTCAAACAAAGTACGAATCTATCAGTCAGAGTATTGCGGTGTAAGCCCAAGAAGAGTCGATTTATTTTTTGGCTCCCAACAGATTTTTGGGAAATCAGAGAGCCTCCTACAACCAACTCTTGGAGTTCAGTTTTAGAATTGGCGACACTCGTCCAATGTCTACAGCGGCTGAAAAAGCAACGGCAATCGCATAACAAACACAATATTCGCTCAAGAAAACGAATTCCCAAGCCTACAAACTTAAACATACAAATTCAGATTGTACGAGCATCTAGATTTTCAGTGGCAACCAAGACTGACATCAAGACAATTCATTTCGATATTGACTAATTGAACGGCAATTAGAATAAGAGGCAGGTATTCACCTCAAGGCGTCGGATTTCTGCACTACGTTAAGCTGGAAACGGCGTCGAGAGGTGCCGCCGGACTTTTGACATTGTGGATGGAATTTTGAGATTGTCCAGCCGGATACGTAGGTCAGTTTTGCGAATCTTGTGCACTAGGTTTTAAATATTCTCCAGCTCACGGAGGTCCGTTTATCAGTTGCATTCCTTGCGACTGCAACCTTAGGAGCACACTGCAACAATCACACCAGCATTTGCGATTCGGAAATTGACAGGTGTATTTGCGAACATAATACTTCCAGGGGCCGAATTCTCGTCTAAGGGAGTAGAGTTCTCCGATAGAACAAATGTTTTGTCCTTGTCAACGTAATCGAAAAGTAAATGAAAATGACAAAGACGAAAAAATTTGTTCTCTCAGGGAGCTCTACTCCTTGGCCGAGAATCGGCCCCGAGGGAGAATTGCGAGTTGTGCGCCAGAAGGTTTTATGGGAACGCACTTGCAGGTAGAAGATTGTTTTCCTTGCAATTATTGTCCAGATGGTTAAACTTGTTTCCAGCTTTCTGAAGATGTGACCATCAGTATGGAATGAACCACTGGATATTCTGGGTACAGATGTGATGGTTGCTCAGATGGATACTATGGAGACCCTACTAGTAGGTTTGGATTTTGGATCTCCTTCGCCGTGCCAAGTGTGCGAATGCATCCAAAATATCGATACAAACGCTATAGGAAATTGTAACACTACAACTAAGATGTGGGCACAATACAGGCAGAAGCAGCTGTGACATTTGCTTACAAGGTTATTACGGAAATGCACTGGTTTTGCCTGAAGACGACTGTAAACGTTGTGAATGCTACCTCGTAGGCACTGAAGCTGATACATTGGAAGAACCAATTTATGATTCAAGCATCGGAGCTTGTGTGTGCAAAAACAAAGTTGTGGGAATGAATTGCGACCAGTGCGAGGACGGTTTCTACAATATGCAAAGCGGCGAAGGCTGTCACTCTTGCAATTGCGACCCGATTGGCTCCTACAATTCAACTTGCAATTTGTATAGTGGACAGTGCTATTGTGGACCAGGCGTTACAGGATTGCGCAGCTGTTATCATTGTGACGCAAGAAAATACGGATTTTCTTTAGAAGGTTGCGAGGATTGTGAGTGCGATGTGATTGGTTCAAATGATTTGAAATGTAATGCTCCCGGCCAATGTCCTTGTCTTGACAATGTTGAAGGACGTAGGTGCAATAGGTGAACGGAAAATAAATATGATAGTCATAGAGGATGTGTTGATTGTCCTGATTGTTATAAGTTGGTCCAAAACGCCTGCAGAGCCCACAACCTTAAACTAAACAAATAAGATGACATTCTTAAAAGTCGAAAGAAGGCCTACAGTGATAGCTGACGAAAAATTTCCAATAGAGCTGAGTGAGCTGCAAGACGATATCGATGAGTTTTATGGCAAAGTCAAAACAGCTACTGCATAGATAGCATTATACATCAAGTGCAAGATATTAGACAAAGAGAAAAGGAAATCACTAGGACTTTGGCAACTGTTACAGAGTATATTGTCGAGATTGAAGCTAGGACTGACGATGCTCAAAGAATTGGAGATAATATTAATATCGTGCTTGAAACTCTCGAGCAACGCTTTAACGAAATCAGCACCCAACTCGAACAAGACGCCAAAAAAGCTCTACAAGACGCTTGGGAGCGAAGCAAACAAGTGGGCCAACAATCCGATAATATGAGCAAAATAGCTCAACAAGCCAGATAGTTAGCTGAAGACTTGAACCAGCGCAATTACCTCTTTTGGGAAAGCTCAACTGGTCTCAAGTCTCCACCCAGCGCAATTTCCTCTTTTGGGAAATCTCCCCTGGGAGTCTTCAGTCTGCGTGACGTCCAGCGCTTCTGGAGTACCTCTTTTGGAAAAGCCTCCTAGACGGCCCTTTATTTTAGACGAATGGCTCCTAACGCAGCTTTGTATTTTTCAGGTAGCTCCCCTGTGCCCCATAGAAGAGGCAATATGTACCATGAGGCCATCCTTTGGTAATTAATAATTATTATAAACTTTACTCTACAATATACCTTAAACTAAATATAGCATTTGTAATACCCATTTAGAATAACCCCAACCTTATTTATCAATCACGAATCAGATGAAACAAAAAATTACCAAAAAAAACGAACGTCGATTGCTAATACGTCAATTTCATCTACAAATAGGAAATTCCTAACCTCATTTTATTTGTGTGTCAAGAAGCGACATACGTTTTGTCACTAAAACGACAGGTACTTCTAAATAGGTATTAAAAATACTATACCAAGCGAGACTCTATCCTCCTGACCCTACGCTACGTACCCCGTTACGACAGGATAAAGTTGTGACACTATGGACTATCTTTTTGGGGCTGTTGTAGCCAATACCTGTTCCAATCAGTGTTTAAACTCCAGAAGCGAGCAGTACGCTTTATGCTCTCCCAGGAAACACTGCAAATCCTTATTTAAAAAATATAATATATTAACATTGCCTTGTCTTTTTATCCTTGAGTCGGTTGGTCTCATAAATAGACACATATCTTCGTTCCCTGTACACCAGAATACCTTTTCTAGACGAAAGACGCACGATATACCGCTTCCCATCCCGCACTCTACTCTTGTAAAGAATTCAATCATTTACAACAGTGTGAATAATCACCTTCCTGCAACTATCAGAAACATCTCAGATATTTCAAGGTTTCGCAGCCATTTGAAGAACATTTCACTTCAACATGCCTTTTATACAGTTGCTGAATTTGTAAATATTTCCATATGAAATTACAACCTTCCTGTTTCTATTACAGCTGTTGTACAGTAATTCACCAAAATTAAATAACTTCGACTTCAAATTGCGTTAGTGAAAGTTTATTGTCGTTGGGTTTTTGAAAATGGATGTCGAAAAATTTATGGAAGAAGTTTATTTGCGCAAATAAATGATGGAATTCCACATACGCTGATCTGCCCAAGTTAATTGCAACTTGAACGTAGTGCAATGTTAAGGACTTGAAAGAAGATGAAACTAACACAAATTAAAGAAAATAATGATTAATAATGTTTATTTTGGTGGAGTAATTCTGGTGCGGGTGCAGCTCAGTTATGGAGGTACGCTGGAACGTGTCCAAGATCTAGGAGGATTAGGTTGAATCTAGAAGTTGTAGTCGAGGTTAAAACAGGTCCGGAAGCAGCGCTTGAGAAGAGGCTGCATCCGGTGCCAGTTTTCTGGTGTGCCAATCATCCATATGGAGGATCAGGAATCGAATAGTTTGTTCATCATCAAGTGATGAACATTAATGGATGCAGCGAAGATAGCTTGATTTTAAATAGAGCCTAGTGGACTGTATGGAGAGAGAAATGAAAGGGAACATTTAGAGACCGTGCAGAGGTGATGCCCTATCGGTTCCTAGTATCGGAGACGAAATCCTGCTGATATAACTCAAGGATGCGCAAATGTAAATAAACCATGGAAATGGATAGTAATAGATTGCAAACTCTCGAGGGAGAAGTCGCACCAGCAGGAACACCCAAAACTAGAGAGTAATAGACTGCGACCTCTCGAGGGAGAGGTCGCCCCATCAGGAACGCTATCAGAATTGGATAGTAATTGAATGCGACCTCTCGGGGAGAGGTCCCCCAGCAGGAATATAGTGAGAATTAAATAGTAATAGAATACGACTCTCGAGGGAGAAGTCGCACCAGCAGGAACACCCAAAACTAGAGAGTAATAGAATGCGACCCCTCGAGGGAGAGGTCGCCCATCAGGAACGTCATCAGAATTGGATAGTAATAGAATGCGACCTCTCGGGGAGAGGTCGCCCCAGCAGGAATACCATCAGAATTAGATAGTGATTGAATGCGACCTCTCGGGGAGAGTTCGCCCCAGCAGAAATACCTTCAGAATTAGATAGTAATTGAATGCTACCTCTCGGGGAGAGGTCGCCTCAGCAGGAATTCTATCAGAATTAGATAGTAATTGAATGCGACCTCTCGGGGAGAGGTCGCCCCAGCAGGATCAAACGTAGATATTAATAGAATGCTTTCGAGGAGAGGTCGCCCCAGTAGAAACAACATTCATAGTACATTGGAGTTAGGTACATACCAGATTGAGTAGGTTCGACAAAACAGTTCACCACACAAGCACGATTTGAGCGGTGTAAAAACTGATAGCCGAACGAGGGCTGCAATTGTTTGTTTTGACACCAAGATGAGCTACTTTAGCTCAGGAAAAAATACACTAGCGTAAGTATCAACTAACGTAGAGCAGTGGGTCGGAATCGATCGAAATCTCACAATGTACTGTCGATCCCAGTATGCGGGCCTCTCCACCAGGTCGAATTTCTGCCTCGAATCTAGGGTTGCTTATTGTTATGTTGGAAATTCCTAACCCATCATAAAAATCAATATTCTTGATGGTCTTGGTGGAACCAAAGTTTTGTCAGCGAGTTCACTGTAATCTACCTGGCTGGAATTTTCATGACCTTTTGGGTCGGTTTGATGAAAATAGGTACATAAGAAAATGCATTCTTTTAGGTTTTTGAATCGTTTATTCTTTGCTGAAAAACAGGCAGGTTTTTAAATTCGTATTCGAAATAGTAAGAAAAGGTTTTATTCTAACAAACTATAATAATTACTGCCTAATTGAACGAAACCAGAAAGCTGATTCCCACAAGAAAGTCCATCATCATTAATCCCTACTAGCAACACAGCAGTACAGTTGTTACAACAACATCGCTTATCAAACGTTGCTTTGCTAGATTGCTTTCAAAAAATCATTAGAGAAACCTACGAATACGATAGAAGTTCAACAAAATCTCAACCAGAATACAAAAGATGATGTAATATAACAACTAAAAGTTGAAAATAAACTGAAAATTTACCTGAAGCTATGTTCGAAATAAATTACGTTGAAGTTCAAAGTCTCTCTTGTGGGATAAAAATATATGTGCGAATCGGCATCAGTGCGTGCTCAAATCCTGGGTCCTGTCAAATACAGCTTCACCCCGACATAAAACCAAATCAAAACAAATCAAACAGCGGGTGGAATGGTCTAGATATTACAACACGCTCATCGCGATTTTACTAGCTTTCCGGTTTAATATCAATTCCATACTCCTGTTATTTTTGAGATTTTGGAAAATTATTACAGATCACTTTATTTCATGCAATACATTTTTATATTTTGCTTTCACATTTGGTCCACAGCACGTTTTTTCTTCATAACAAGTAAATCTTCTCCCCTAATATCATATATAACTGCAATTCATTAACGAATGAAGCTCAACATTGTTGTAATTATTGCTAAATTAATCGATTTCCAGTGTCAGCATTATTTAGCAAATGCCTATAGTGCTATCATATTAGTCAGAATGCAAATATAATCTTGGACATTCGTGGTGTTTGAACAATGCCGAAAGGTCACATGTGTCCGTGCATAATAATCTCCTGTTTCCGTAATTAAACCTGTTTGTTCTTCGGTGAAACTATATGCTTACAGGCGCGCTTGTGAGTCATACAACTTTTGTTTGATGAATCCTAAAATAGTTTAGTTTACATTTATAAACTTGAAATTTAACAAAACACATTTGAAAGCATTTCATATGGAATAAATTAAATTGGATTTGTTACTCAGTTTGGATTTAAAGCTGACGTTGGTTATTTTTTTTTTTTTTGTGGCATTTAAGTGATTAATGTGTTTGGGTTGTTATTACCAAAAGAGAATATCAATTTTAACAGTTTTTTCCCTATTTTAATAACTGACCACAAATAAATTAGTAGCATAGTTTATCAAGTTATGTAAAAATTCGGAAGTCATCTCACCTCCGATAACAGTTTTTTTTTTTCAAAAGATTTTTGTGGTTAATTATAATCCTATTCATTGCATCCTTTTAAATCAAAATTAAAAGTCAATAGAAATATCCAGGTACTTATGTGGCAGCGTTGCAAAAATATCTGATAGAAAGCAGAAATATACTAATTACATATTGAGGTTTGTCTAATTACGGTTCGTATAATGTTACTTGTTGCTACAAGTGTTCTGTAATCAAGCGCAGATTCGACATGGAGGGTTAACAAAGTTAATTACTGATATTCCAGTAATAATTGGGCTCTGTTTTGGTTTGTAGTCTTCTGCAAAAATTACTTGGTTAATTAAAAATTTCACCATCTAAACCTGTAAAGTTTTAGCTAATTTTGTTCAAATTAATGAATGTTTTACACAAGAAATACCTAGGAAAGGAATAATGCTATTGAAACTCAATTAATGTAACCTCAAGCCTGCTCAATTTTAGGAATTTAGACCCCTCAAGCTGTGAGTACTTATCAACGAAATTGTTGTTTGCCAAATGAAATCTCTCAATATCAATTTTGCTATCAATTAAAGTTGATTCAATTTCATCAAATTATCATTAATTGGAAAATCGAAGCCAAAATTGTAAATTGCGAAGTTAAAATGGTGGAAATTTGTAATACCAAAGCGAACTGCCGGTGTATCTTGCAGCTCGGTTGCGATTTTAAGCGGGACTATGTTTCGCTTTATTTATCAAAGGAGGGATATAAAACCACCGGATAAAACTACTATTACCAATTAGATACCATAGAAGTGAAGCGGTTAATCTCGCAAACGTGCGGCCTGCTGCTTCGGTATATCTATTCATTTAGTATAGTATGTTCGTGGATCGGATAAATTGGAATTTACGCCTGATATAATTTGTTGAGATGACATTATCCAAACTCAAACACTGT